CTTCGCAGTCTTGCAGAGCCCTGCGGCAGGTCCTTGAAAGAGGGCGTGGAGAGCTCCGCCGGCTGGAGCTTGCCGTCGAGAGGGCGGTAGGCCAGCATGCCATTCCGCCGAAGCCCTGAGAGCACCCAGTCAGAGGCATCCTCGGCACAGGCTTTCTGGGCAGAGACGATGGTCTCGCAGATGTCCTCCACAGAGGCAGCCCAGACAGAGGATTTGCCGCTCTCTGTCAGAGCCTTCTGGCCCAGAGACCTCCTCTCCGCCATAGAGGTGCGGCACAGAGACTTGAATCTGCGAGAGAAGTCCTCAGAATGGGTTTGGGAGTTGAGAGCTCGAAACAAAAACAGAAAGACTAGTGCATGCGAGAGGCTGTGTCCGTCAACTGGAGAGAGGCCGTCATCTTCGGAGCGACCAGAGTCTGGATCGTGTTCCCCAAGAAGTGGGCACCAGAGACAGACTCTGTGAAAGAGGCTCCCAGGCAGTCCCTCTGCACCAGCAGAGCTGGAAACGCCTCTGAGAGTTCCTGGGCCACCCAGGAGAGTATGATGCTGTCGGCATTAGAGCTCGGTTGCATCATCACAGAGACGTGCTCAAAGAGGTGCGGCTTCTGGGCTCGCAGAGCTCTCCATGGCTCCATGAGCCTGCCAACAGAGGTGCCCTTCTTGTGAGAGACAAGGTTCCCTCTCCACTCAAAGGTCTCATCGCAGAGCCACTTGCCGTCTTGAGAGATGTTCGAGAGTCTGGCATGAGGCCCGCTGATGATGATGAGACCTTTGTAACAGAGGCCAGTCGGCGGCGTTCCCGGAGAGTTGTAGTTCAACAAGACCTGCCGGGCTTCGTAAGTGAGGCGGAAGCGGTCCGCGAGAGGCTCCTGCCGGCAGGAATAAGGTTATGAATTATAACAGAAACGACCCAAGTAAAACATTGCAGAGAGGTCCTGGCGTGAGCGGAGTTGCCTCTGACCCTGAGCATCTCCGGAAGAGTCTGGGTGCTGCACAACCAGACCAGAGTCCACGTCCGCCTGCCCAGAGAGTTGCTTGTCGTGCAGAGCAGCCAAGTCCTGCCGGAGAGCCGCCTGAGAGGTGGGTTTTCGCTCCCACTCGGCGAAGAGAGACCTCTCGGCACCCGCCTTTATCCAGAGCGGAATTTGATCGGCGAAAAGGATCGCGAGAGAGGCTCTGTGTTCCAAGAACTGCTTTGGCTTAGAGACGTGCTTCCCCAGAGTCTCCTCGTCAGAGCAGGCAGCAAGCCAGAGAGCCCTGTCGAAAGATTGCCACGTCAAGTGGCATCTCGACTGCTCTTGGAGAGGCGTGAGCTTGGTGACGAGGTGAGGCCTCAAGTTCCTTGCAGAGCACCACTTCTCGAGACGACCTTTCAGAGACTCTTTGGCTTTGTCGCTCTTCTTTTGAGAGGCCAGCTGCTTGTCCAGCTCCGAGAGCCTCACCTGCAGAGGCGTCCGCTTTGGCTGCAGCAGCTTCGGATCAGAGAGATCCGCCTGCACCCGTATCTTGTCCATCTCCATGAGGTGGATGTAGTAGTTGTAGAGGTCCACTCGAAGCACCTGGTTCCCGTAAGAGCGCATCTCGTTGAACCACTCACGAGCCTTGTCCACCAAGTCGGGGAAAGAGTGCTTCCGACCCGCTCCTGGCAGACGAAAGCCTCTGTACGCACGCTTGAGATGCGACCTCTTGGTGCCCTTGGCACCAGTGTAGCGGTGGGGTTTGCGTGAGAGTTTGTTCTTTTGAGAGGTCTTCTTGACCAAGCTCCGCTGCAGCCACAGAGTCTTGACTCGCTTCTTCGGCAGAGCGAACTTCTTGGCGAAGTAACTGAAGAACTCCGTTTCGTCAGAGAAGCGGTCGCCTGCAACAGCGAGTTCCATCTCCTGCACGAGAGCTGCCCGCACGGCAACTGGGAGATCGCTTCTCCCAGAGCTCCTGCCTTTGGGGCGGCCTCCGTAGTACCGCTTCTTGCTTTGCACTTCGCTCTCTCGAGCTATCAAAGCTTCGTCGAGAGCTTTCTGTTCGAGAGCTTGCTTTTCAGCTACTTGAGCGATGATCTGCTTCATCTCGCGAGAGAGGGGCCGACCGCCCTGCTTGCCGGGAAGGAACCGCACTGGCTTCTGAGCTTCTGGGTGAGAGGGCTGGAAGAACCGCCGAAGAGAAGCTTGCAGGCCTGACGAGGGAAAGAAAGCATTGATTCAATGACATGCCGAATGAGTCAGAGGAAAGCAAGCTTTGCAAGCAAGAGCGAAGCCTCGTATGCCTATATACTGAGCGAAGCCCTTCGTTGGGAAAGCTTTAGCTTCCAAAGCCACGGGACTCCGAAACCGCAGATATAGAGGGCTCCAGAAACCATGCCTTCCTTAATACAATTCCTTATTCCCGGAGCCAAAAATCAATCCATCCTGATGGAGTACTAACAAAAGCCGTTCTGCAGAATTATAAACCCCCCTCAATTATAAACTCCCGCCGGGGAGTGCCGTTCTGGTGGTGCCTTTAAAAGGACAGCAAGCTTTAGAAGCCGAGCCCTGCATTGGGAAAGCCTTGGATTCAAAAGGAAAGCAAGCTTTAGAAGACAAGCCCTGCATTGGGAAAGCTTTAGCTTCCAAAGCCACGGGACTCCGAAACCGCAGATATAGAGGACTCCAGAAACCATGCCTTCCTTAATAAAATTCCTTATTCCCGGAGCCAAAAATCAATCCATCCTGATGGAGTACTAACAAAAGCCGTTCTGCAGAATTATAAACCCCCCTCAATTATAAACTCCCGCCGGGGAGGGCCGTTCTGGTGGTGCCTTTAAAAGGACAGCAAGCTTTAGAAGCCGAGCCCTGCATTGGGAAAGCCTTGGATTCAAAAGGAAAGCAAGCTTTAGAAGACAAGCCCTGCATTGGGAAAGCTTTAGCTTCCAAAGCCACGGGACTCCGAAACCGCAGATATAGAGGGCTCCAGAAACCATGCCTTCCTTAATAAAATTCCTTATTCCCGGAGCCAAAAATCAATCCGTCCTGATGGAGTACTAACAAAAGCCGTTCTGCAGAATTATAAACCCCCCTCAATTATAAACTCCCGCCGGGGAGGGCCGTTCTGGTGGTGTCTTTAAAAGGAAAGCAAGCTTTAGAAGCCAAGCCCTGCATTGGGAAAGCCTTGGATTCAAAAGGAAAGCAAGCTTTAGAAGCCAAGCCCTGCATTGGGAAAGCTTTAGCTTCCAAAGCCACGGGACTCCGAAACAGCAGATTTAAAGGGCCTCAGAAACTATGCCTTCATGTCCTTGCTTGCGAAAGCTTCGGCTTTCAAAGGAGCAGGGAAAGGAGAGCAGGATCATTGTTCATTGCTGACACTTTACCAAACGTGCCTTGTCTGCTGGAAGAGCTGGACTCAGAGGCAACGACAGCTCCTGCAAGACCGAGGGAAGAGCCGACGGCATCCGGTGCCGCTTCCTCCTCCGAAGAGATCTCCATTGCCATTGCAATGGAGAGGCGATGCCTTTCTAAAGGACTTACACGGTCAGAGCGGGGCTGATACGAGCTTCTGCTAAGGTTGAAAAGAGAACACTGCTTCAGTTCTGCCTTCTTCAGCGTGGCTGCTCAAAAGAGTCTTGCGGCGAATGCACAAGAGAAGTTCTTGGCTATTCAAAAGACTTGTTCAGAGTGGCCGCTCAACAAACATGCGACAGAGACCCTGCGAGCAGCCGGCTGTTTCTGCTGAAAGCGAGAGAGAGTTCAGTTCAGGCCGCTTCGGGCGAGGCAGGGAGAGGAACTAACATCTCCCAATCATCATGATCAGAGTGGTGCTCATCATGCTCAGAAGCTTCAGAGTGTGTTTGACTGCCAGGCAGAGAGTTCCCCAGATCATCGAGATCCTCCTGGGTCAGCACCCGCCAAGAGCGACGGCCCTCCAAGAAGAGAAGGTCTCCAACAGAGAGATCTCTGCGTCGGATCAGCCATCCCTGAAGAGTCCACCTCTCAGAGCTGAAACAAGAGACCTCCGGAGAGAACCTCATGCCGTCCTCAAGGCACCAAGAGCAATCATGCAGAGGCAGGCCCAAGAGTTCTCCCATCAGAGAGGCGACGTCTTCCTCGTGCTCCAAGAAGCATCTGCTGATGCAGAGAAGAGAAACGTACCTGAGTCCGGCAATAAAAAGAAAAGATTATTGAAAGAGACACAAGAGCCAAAGCGAAATGCGAACGGAGGCACTGGTTCACAGAGACGGTGGGAGAGACAGTCTCCATGTTTCCAAGCAAGAGGCCAAGTTGCTGAGAGCAAAAGAGCTCCCGGGCTGACTGTTCTCCGCAAAACACAACTTTAAAAACAAAGAGAGAGAGAGAGAGAGAGAGAGAGAGAGAGAGAAACATAGACAGCGAGAGAGAGAGAGCATGCGTGTTTGTGTGTGTTTGCGCTAGAAACTAAACTAATTAAACCGTACATAAACCCTAAACCCCAAAGCACAAAAGAGTGAGTTCTTTTGCAGAGCCAAGCTGAGAGTCGGCTGAACAGTTCCAGAGAGATGCTCCAGCAGAGAGCGGGCTTTTTTGGAGAGTTGAGGTTTTAGGGTTCTAGAGTCTAGGGTTTAGGCTCGAAGGTAAAGGTAATTAAGGCCTGTAAGGGTTTAGGGTTTAAGGGTTAGGGTTTAGGGTTTCGGGGGTTTAGTAGGGTTTTGGGTTGCCTGAGAGTTCAGGTGTTAAGGTTTTAGAGTCTAGGGTTTAGGCTCGAAGTTAAGGTAAGGGTTTAGGGTTTAGCGTTTAGGGTTTAATTAGGGTTACTTTAAAAAAAGCCGGCTTCTGCGAGCTCTCGATCTTGAAGAGCCCGGCTCATCAAAGCCTGGGATGGGCATATGTATAACATTATATATATATATATAGATAGATAGATAGATATGTATATATATATATATATATATATATGAATATGTACACACATATATATATATATACATATATGTAAATACATATACATATACATATACATATACATATACATATACATAAATATATATATATATATACATACATATACATATATATATATATATATATATATAATACATATACATATATAACATATGTGTATAATTAAGTAGTATACATGAAATCATGATATATATATATATATATATATAAATAAATAAATAATATAATATAATATAATTAATATAATATAATATAATATAATATAATATAATATAATATAATATAATATAATATAATATAATATAATATAATATAATATAATATAATATAATATCATATCATATCATATCATATAATATAATATAATATAATATAATATAATATAATATAATATAATATAATATAATAATGATTATTATCGTCGAGCAGCGTAGAGTGCTGCTCGAGAGCCAAAGCAAAGAGCTCCTCGGAGCATGAATTAATTAAGAGGGTTTGGGGAGTTTAGGGTTGAATTAAGGTGTACGGCCTAGTTTGTGTGTAGGGCCACGGTTTAAGGTTTGGGGTTAATTAGGGTGTTGAAGTTTTTGGTTTAATTACTTAAGAAGGGTTTAGTTAAGCCTTAATTAATTAGGTACATAGGGTTTAATTAAGGAATACCCCCAACGAACCCCAAACCCTGGAACCCCTTCACCCTAAACCCCGAAACCCTAAAACCGCCCCAAACCCTGGAACCCCTTGACCCCTAAACCCCGAAACCCTAAAACCAGAGCCGAGCGTCGCCAGAATGAAGGCATAGAGGCTCCACCCCTATGCCTCGGATAGAGTTTGGGGTTTAGGGTTTGAGGGTTTGGGTAAGTTTAGAGTTTGGGGTTTAGGGTTTCAGAGGGCTTATTTCAGGGTTTGGGGTTTCAAGTTAGAGGTTTCAGAGTTTAGTTATTTAGGGTTTAATTAAGGGTTCAAGGTTTAATTAATCAGGGGTTGTGGGTTTTCCGGTTTTAGGCTTTAGGGCCTTTAGGGTTTAGGGGTGTTGTTTAATTACATAAGGTTTTTGAAAGGCTTAATTAATTAATTAAAACAACCGAGCATCAAAGAGATCTTCCCCCTGAGAGGTTCCTCTAGGCCTCGGATGAGAATTAATTTAGGGTTTAGGGTTTAGGGTGGGTGTTTGTGGTTCAGGGTTTCAGGCTTTAACTAGAGGTTGCAAAAAAAAGTTGGTGATCACAGCAGAGGGTCCCATCGGTCGGCAGAGAAGCAGGTCACCGAGAGGGCTTGTTGTTCCAACCAGAGAGGGAAGGACACCTGCAGCAAAACATAAGCCATCTTCCCCCAAACCTCAATTAACTATTTAATTAACAACCCCTAACTAAGCCCTGAACCCTTTATTAACTAAACCGAGAGGCTCGTCGAAGCATGAGAGGCCAGCTGAACTGCCGATAGCAAGCGAACCTGCCATGTTCAATTAAGAATTAAAACAACCCATTGTCATAACATTATTGAGATATAACTAATTACGGAAAGAAATACGTTAATTAAACAACCAAGAAACTCAGCAAGGTAGCGGCAGCGGTCAATGACGATAGAGCTTTGGTTCGCAAACCACAATCCAAGCACACCCCCAAACTCCGGTGCATTGGAGATTGGAGAGCAGAGCCCGGACCTCCAGGGTATTCGTTACTTAGGGTTTAGAGTTTAATTAGGGGTTTAAGGGTTAATTAATTATGGGTTCAGGGCTCAAGTGGGGTTTTAGGGCTTACTTAGGGGTTTATTAATTAATTATTTCAAGTCGAGAAACTCCTCCCAGAGCCATTTCACAGAGGAGAGAATCTCGCTCACGTGCGCCGGAGTTGGCGCCATCTCCTGGGAGTGGCTTTAGGGTTTGATTAGTAAGTAACTAAGGTTAGGGTTTAGGGTTTAATTAAGGGTTTCGGGTTAATTCCATTGTAATTAAGAGTCGTCCGAGAGTTCGTGGAGGAGCTTCCAGATGCACTCCAGAGTTGCACCCAAAGCTCCCATGATGCCTGAGAGGATTTGGGAACTAGTAATTAGAACTTAATTAATTAATGAATAATTAATTAATAAATAAACCCTAAACCCTAGTAATTACTATCTTTGTTAATTCACAACGAAAACGAAAAGAAGCTGCGAAATCTAGAGAAGACACAAACCGCCTGCCAAGAGTTCGCCGTGTGGTGCGGCTCAGAGTGCATGCGCGAGAGCTCGGCGTCCAACCACCTGATTTACAGTCCCTTAATTCTATACTGAATCACTAAATAAACTCAACCCCCATTAAGAAACAAAGCGAACCCCCCCAGAAAATACTTAAAGAAAGAAGAGGGCCTTCTCAGAGTCAGACGCGTGTGTCCTCCGCTGCGGCGGAGAGCGCCGAGACTATCGGCAGAGCGATGGTACGTGACCAGGATCGAAGAGATATTCCTGAGAGTTTGGGTTTAGGGTTTGGGGTTTAGGTTTCAATACCATTAATTAGGGTTTAATCGGGTTTAATTAATTAAGGTGTAATTACGGTCTAGGCGCACCACCAGCAGAGAGAGGCCCACCACACGGGCTCCGGTGTAGTAGCCAAGCACCGGCGGATCAGAGCCCCATCCCTGAGGTTGAGAGAATACAAGCAATATCCTAAACCCCTAAACCCTATAACTAATTAAGGAATGAAGAGAATTCCAGACAAGTTGCATCCCCGAGAGGAGAGCCGGGTGCCGGTGGGCCCGGCGGTCCAGAGCCATGCGGGAGAGGGTTCCCCGGGCCAGAGCCTCCGCCACCTCCGCCGAGAGCAGGGCCGGCCAGAGCCTGCAGGGAAAAACCCTTTAAACCCTCGAGATTTATTATACTAAAGCCCATTTACTTAGAGTCCAAAAGCTCTCCCAGAGCTGCCTGGTCCGCGTCCGCGAGAGGAACTCCGGCAACAGAGCCGGGCTCCGCTGCTGGAGAGCCGCCCTGCAGGGCAAGAGAAACCCCCCAAAACCAGAGCACCACCCCTTAACCCACTGAACCCTCCTCGTCTCCCATCATCGAGAGATCCTCGGCCGGGGCCAGAGAGCCCGCCTGCAGGGGATTCCGAAATTAGAGTTTATTTATTACTTATTTTACAGAGGCCCCTCCTCTGCAATCTCAGAGAGAGCCGGCACAGAGGTTGTCGTCAAGGAGGCCATTGCCTTGGGGGATTGAGTGTAATTAGACAAGTTCTAAGAGAGATGTAGTTTAATTCATAATTACAAATAAACAAAAAAATAAGAAACAATACTGGATACGTATCTAGAGACGAGAGGAGCGGCTGCGTGAGAGTGCAAGAGGGCGATAATTGCCGAGAGCCCAAGCTGCTCGGCCGCGATAACGTGCAACTACTACTGTATTAATTACTACTTACTCTAAATATTACTACAATACTCGTATTGTACTACTCTACTACTGTACTATTGTATCAATACTGTACTTTTGTACTATTGTGCTATTATCATTATATTGTAGTACTATAATACTGTACTATTGTACTACTGTACTAATTATTGTGATACTGTACTACTGTACTACGACGACGACCC